AGTGTATAGACTTTATTATCATAAAAACAAAAAGTTTTTTGAGAATGTCTGTTTTTTGGATTGGCAAAAGGATCAGCAGAAAGAGTGATTCTTTAATGCTTCTATTAGAAACTAAATATATAAATTAATATTTATTTTAAATTATAACAAAATTTTAAATATATTTGAAGTTTCTTTAAACATTTTTCACACTGATATATCAAAAAAGATTTGAAAAGATATTCAGGAGATCTCAATTATTTTCAAGATATTTTTGTTTCCATTTCAATAGAAGTTAAGGATCTTTGTTCAATAGCTGGTTCTGAGGTTTCCTGGATACTCTTTGTCTTTTTAAAAAATTTTGAAATACTTTCTTAACTTTTTTTTTTTCTTTTTGGCAAAACCATAAATAAGTTTTTAAAATATTTTATACATTTCTTGTTTTTTATTTGACATTAAAGAAAAAGTAAGAACTTTAGAAATCTTATATAATACAAATTTCAAGAAATTATGTTATATTATAACTGCAAACTTTTCTTTATTATTTTTCAAAAATTACTTTATAAATATAAATCATTAAGTTATTATATTAAAATGAAACCATTAAGTTATTATATTAAAATGAAATTACTTTGTTAATATAATTATTACAACAAATAAAATTTGTAATTAAAGTAAACCAAAAAAAAATAAAGAAATAAAAACTAGATATATTATTATAACAATTATTTAAATTTTTTAAAAGACACAAAATTAACAAATTATAAAAAAAAAAAATGTTTAAAAAATATATATTATTATTTTCAAGCTTTATAAAAAGAAAGTTTGATTTAGAAAATCAATTAAATAATATAAATAAAAAATAATAATAATAAAATTCAAAAAAGTATTATGAATTAAGATTAAAAAAAGAAAAAATAATTATAAAAATAATTATCATTAAGATTTTAAAATAAATTGTAATAATAAATTAATACAATAGTACAAGTCACTTTTACTTTTAATAATAACAAAACCTTCAATTCAAAATTCTTTTATCAATACATTAACTTTTTTTCACTTGTATAAATTTAATTTTTAATTTTCTAAATATTAATTTCTATTTTAAAATATTAAACCATTTACAAAAATTTAAAAACTCTAATAATCTTTAAAATAATCTTTTCAATCTAATTTACTATAAAATATAAATTTCTAGAAACAAACATATAATAAAAAAAAACATGGATATCTTTTATTTTAACAAATTGAAAAAAAACAATTGAACATTTTCACCTAAAAATAAAACCAGAAAAAAAAATTATTTTAACAAATAAACCTTCTGGTCCAAATTCAAACAACCTTATTAATAACATTATTAAAACTTTTTTTAAAAATTTATTTAATTTATGAGGTTATGAATTTTAATATTTATATTAATCAAGTAAAAATCTTTTTTTTTTAAAAAAAATTTTTTTTTACAATTTAAATAAAAAATCTGTGATACGTAATTAACATTATCATTTAATTGTGAAAATATTTTTATATGAAAATATTGATATCGCAATCTTTTGATTTTCACATACTGTTTTTTATTTTAATAGGATGTTTATTTAATTTTTAATCAACAATTTGAGTAATAAATAAGCACATGTAAACAATTCCAAAATTTTTGCAACTTTATATTTGTGAATTTTAAATCCAATTTATATATTAAAAATCATTATTTTTATTAAGATTAACAAAAAAAGAAATATATATAAGTGAAAGCACGAGTATTGGATACCGTAAATATCGAAACTCCGCCTCTCATACCGTATATTAAGTATACGTGGATTTAATTTAATATCTTTTTTTCTATTAAAAGATGCCCGAGAATCGGTTATATAAATTACTTGAACATAACAGATTGCATATAAAAATAAATGAAATAATAAAGATTAGGGTTGAATACAATTAATTTAGATATCGTTAACGTCTAAAATATTCTTAATGTTGATTCTTCTTGCCAATTTAACATTTTTTGGATCACCAGGTCCAAATATGATCTTAATCTTAACTTTATGATACACCTCAATATGATGCGTTTTGGTAGCCCAACTAACCTCCTCCTCAAGCACGTCAATTTTAAAATCATATGACCATTCATCATAGGCATCCAAAGCTCCTGGAAACTGATTCCCCGATACTCTTAATTCTCGGATATACCCTTTCTCAATCTTTACCTGTTCAGAAGCCTTAAACAAACGATACTCTTTTAATCCAACAAATATTTCAGTTAATTTTAAATCCAATGTTAAGAATTTAATGGCCAAGTTTACAACAACAGGATTCACAGGACCAAATGTACTGTAATTCGTTGAGATATCATAACCCAGTCCACGCTTCTGAGCTTCTTGATCATCCCATTTGACCCATCGAACAGGTGACGGAGAAGGCATTGGACTATACCGCGTAATCAAGCATTCGCATTTAATGGACTTTTCTGAACCTTGGAGTTTCCAAAATTTAGATTTTCTCTTGATTTTTGCACACACATTATAATAAATGTGCCCTATCCCTAAATTCATCGATGGCGGCAAGTTGTTAGGTAAGGAAATTTGAAATGGAAGAATCATCTGTGTAATATTTGCATATGGTTCTTTCTTCGACGTCGCACCGTCAATTAAATCGTTACTTCTCCACAGTAATGATGGTATGTTCAGGAATTGTTTTTCGTGGCGATAATGGGTTGTCTCATTGGAAGTTTCCTCTCGGTATTGTCCAATGATAGAATCGTGTACGTAACGAGTTTTGAAAACCTCATCTGTCCAATAAACATACTCGGTGCCTGTAATAGACACTTCAATTTTCTTAGCTTTCAGAGGTTTTACTTCAGGGAATTGAATACACAGGTTGCCAGCTAAGTATGATTCAGTAAGACCTAAGAGCCCTTGTTGGAATTCATTTGTATTCGGTGCATGAGAGAACCATATCTTCTGGTTGGGTTTGGTGGATGAGGCATTTGAAGGTTGAGGAGGAGGCATTTTTACAATATCCAGAGAAATACAATGATCACAAGATTTCAGCCAAAAGAATTAATTGTATTATCCTTGAGTATCTTCGAGAATGAATAAAACACTTTAGCATAACGTTGAAGCCAATAAATTCTTTACAAATTTATTCTGACTCGTGACTAGTGTTTTTTTCCATAAAGGAATATAGAAATGTCATGAATTCTGTTGCATATACAGTTTGCTATGTTGAAACTGTCGTTTGATTAATGTAGCTGTTATTATTTTTTTATAAAAACCTTCTCACTTCCATGCCTATGTATCAAAAACCAAACGATACCACGAATCATACGTATATAAACCAACAATCCACGTATTCTCACATGTCCACTCTTGATACCAAATACAGTAATACTACGATCCGAAGACTTTAATTGTTTGAGTTTCTTATAAAATTTCATACAAAATAAGATTTATAAAGTTTAGAACAAAGAAAAAACATGGAATCAAGCCATGTTAGAAAAAAGAGGTTTATCTGTGAAACTATGGAAGAATAGGATAAAAACTCGTAAAAGTGACACCCGCCTGACACAAAATCCTATATGATAGGAGGTATATGGTTTAAAAAAAATTGTACAATTTTGAATTGAACTTTAATAAAACTAGTAAGAAACGATATTTTTTCTGCTAGGCCTAAAATGTCCCTTGATCCGAGAAATTCCTGTCCCAGAGTTTTCAGGTAAATCAAAAAGATCTGCATAAAGACTCTTTTTGTCGTACGTATGTGAATGCAGTATAGTCGGGGCTTTTTCCATGATCGACGTGTTACAGTAATTTAGGAATCGATGCAAATTGTTCGTCTCTGTATTACGTCGCATCACGTGTCTCAAACCTACAACTATTGAACTACACAGAGATCCTTTTATTTTCACTTTGATCAATATCATATATAGTATGCCTGAAGGTGTAGAGATTATAAAGAAAGAAGAGATGAATAACCCAAGTAAGCTCAGAATAGTTTATTTTGGTTATCAAAATTATTAATTACTGTAAATTGATTGATTATTTGTTTACATGTGTTTACAAGTTTAAAAAAACATTTCTCAATCGATCGCATATGCAATAACTATTTTAGATGATTTCACAATTGAATAATAATTATTCGGAATTTAATATAACTCCGTAAATGTATCTTTTTAATACTTGAAAAAACAGTGCATCCAATTATTTACTAATTAATGATACATATACTGTATATTGTGATATATTTATTATTGATTTCTTATAAAACTTTTAAGTAAAAAAATATTTTCTGATCAATAAAATCAATCATTCACACACTGTATATATAAAATTCAAAAAATAATTTTTTAGTTATTAAATATACAGTAACTAGTATAATAATAAAACAAACAAACAAAATATAAACATCAAAAATAACGATAATTATATTAACCATTTGTTCTTTTACTTATTCTTGCTTTTTTTTTAATATCATGTATTTATTAAATTATATAAATATAAG